TGAGGCACATGGTGAAGGCGCCCGAAGTCCATTCCTCGGGCTCATCATCCGAAGAGGATGCAGCATAGGTTGTGCACCAGAATTGGCTAGACGCGGCATCACCCCCACCTAAGGGACCACTACGTTTCCGACGATCAAGATGGAGAAGACGGGCCCCATGCTCCCCATAGCACATGGCCCAATTGAGGCCGAAGTCGAAAGGTGGTTTGATTTAAAATGGCCACCAGCATATGAATATCAAAAAAAATGGAGTGCTGGGGATTGGTGGGGCGAGAATCACACCAGCTTCCCCTTGGTGGCCAGGTTTGCACGTCGAATATTAGCAACACAGGTGAGTGGGTGAGTACAACTGGGTGTGCATATATACCAAAGCGCCTTTATGTGAAATATGGAGTTGAAAGGAAGGAAAGTACTGAATATCTTTGGTTGTGTTGCAGGTTTCCAACGCCAGCAGTGAATGCTCATTTTCCATGTTTGGTTTTATTATAATGCCAACTAGCTATGCATATATGCCACAGAGCCCTTATGAAGTTCACAGGCTGAGAAGTACTGAGTATTTTTGGTTGTGTTGCAGGCCTCCAGCGCCAGTAGTGAACACTCATTTTCGAAGGCTGGTCTCATTGTGACGGCCAAGCGCATGGTTCTCAAGCCCGAGAACGTGGATCATTTGAGCTTGCTAGGGTGGCAGATGGCAGAGAGTGGATGGTCGCAGCAGAAGCTAGCGCATCGACGCAAGAAGGGGGGGAAGGGAGGGAAGGGAGGGAAGGGAGGGAAGGGAGGGAAGGGAGGGAAGGGAGGGAAGGGAGGGAAGGGAGGGAAGGGAGGGAAGGGAGGGAAGGGAGGGAAGGGAGGGAAGGGAGGGAAGGGAGGGAAGGGGAGGGAAGAGAGGGAAGGGAGGGAAGTAGTGACTTTGGATTCCAAAGTTTGGATCACCACCCACCGGTGACCACCCTCGTTGCCCCGGCATGGAAACTGTAGAGTACCGCCGCAGCGAGGGTGCGGTACCATAGAGATAGAAGATAAGATATCATGACTTGTAATATTCCGTTGTCCTGTGTTGAAGTGCACACCTTGAACACACTATGTTGAAGTGGTGAATGAACTTTGGGTATCGTATAGATAGAAGAAAATTTTATTCAAGAAATGCGTCCCAACAAGTACTGCGATTGGTGGATAGACTTTACAGTCGCTGCCCTGGCATGGAACTTCTAGAGTACCGCCGCAGCGAGGGTGCGATAGGCAGAGATGGAAGATAACAAATCACGACTCGTACTATTCGTTGCCCGTTTTTATGTATGTTGAACTGTTGAACTTCGACATACTATATTGGAATGGTGGATGAACCTAGGGTATCATATAGATAGAAGAGAATTTCTGTGAGAAATGTATCCAATCGAATAGTGCAATTGGTGGATGGGCTTTACACTCGCTGCCCTGGCGTGGAAACTGTGGTGTACCGCCGCAGCACCCCATCGTTATATGTGATACGTATCACCCATTCCCAAGTATGTTGAGTGGCTCAACTATGTTCAGAGGTGAACCCTTTTTGCCACCTGCCTCAGGTGATGTGGGTGTTTGTGTGTCCGCGTTTGGTATTACAACTATGCCGAACCCTTGCTACAATGGCCGGGAAGACTTGCAATGGGAGTGTGGTACGCAGCAGTACCAGCCGTAGTAAGTGGTGCAGGATTGCATGCATACACTGGAACTTTACACACGGCTTGTGTGTTGTTCAGTTCTCCAAATCACTCCATGTATTACAAACCGCAGAATACATGACCTGGAAAATACCCACACACATTTATCAAGCATGCAACCAACATAATTCGAGTTGCTGCAAAATGGAAACCCCTTGGCAACTTCGCCTTGACCTTGCCGTGGCTGGAAAGCAAGTACCTATGGGTAATAACGGACCAAAATTATTAATCAACGGATATTTTGTTACGGACCGGACGCCGCACACGTCATCTGTTAATTTAACGGCAAATAACGGTGAAGAAAAATGAGAGCCGGATTTGCGGACGGCAGTACAGCAAATAGCGGACCGGATACTAGCGGACAAATATCACACTCAGTTTTATGGACCGGACTTAATGGACCAGATGGCACCCGAGTGTGGCCACCTCTACTGGATCTACAACTTGGGTCTAGATGTCGAACCAGAGGTGGACGCTTGTCGCTGAGCTTGGACCCTCGCCAGCTCTTGGTAAGTGCTCAGCAACTTCCTCTGCTGTTCCATCAATCGGTACACATCCAGATTTGGTGTACCGGAACCTGAAGCAACTTGTGCATTCAGCATCTGTGACTGGGCAGCTATGTCCACTTGCACCTTCTGCACTGCCTCGGTTAGATTTGCAGTTCTGGCTTTTTCCTCCTGGAGTTGCCTCTCCATCTCTGCCACCCAGCTTCTCTCATTTTGCAGCTGCTTGTGCACCGCTACAATATTGTTGTGACGGAATTACATGGGGAGACCGTTTACTCCCTTGACTTTTCCCCCTGTTCCCTGAGGCCTCTTATTGGGAACATTAGTGTCTTAATTTGTGTTAATTGACAACCTGATTAAGGGCCCTAGTAGATGGGATTAGGGCCCTAGGAGGCTGCTCCTTTATTTGGGTGATTTCCGGCCAGCTGCAATACTTTATGGTAGCTTGGGGAATGCCTGTACTGAGCACGGATTGTTTGGAGTATTTTTGGGCCCACGGCGGGCGACCCGGGACGCCCTGCCGCACAAATGGCATGTGGTTGTGTCATCAGTAATCCATTCTCGCTTGTCGATTCTGGCATCGGCCTCCGGATCGGACCACAACCCGCGCGACCAAACTCGCAGCACCCGGAACTCTATTGCCGCGCACTCAGCGACCTTCCAGGGATCTGGGCCCACCACCTAGGAGTGCACCGAGTGCGCGCCCCGTCCAAGCCGCGGCCAATCGAGGTCGCGAGGGCCATTACCGGCCATCTGGGCGCCAAGGCGGCGGCAACGCGCGATTCGCAAACCAGCACCCCATCAATTGTCGTTACTTTGCTTCAGCTGCTTTTGAGTTGTGACCAACAGATTGTGTTGTTCTTGCACCAAGCTCTTGGAGTCCTCTTGCATTTCCTTCATCGACTCCATCTGCTTTTTCATTTCGTCCATTTCCTCCGTCTGCTTCTTCATCAGCACCTCTGTTCGATGGAGTGCCTCTGTTCCTATCGAGTGTGCCTCTGACGCAACACTCTGGGCTCGTACCCCAATGGTCGTTGCCTGCTGTGCCTGGTGCAATGCAGCACTACTGCTCTGCTATGCGTGTTGTGCTTTTGCAGACGTTTCAGCACCCATCGCCTCAAACTGTCTCACGGTTGCATCCACTCTGTGCTAAACCTGTTGTGACGTCGCCTGCTGCTGCTGCGAGGAGGACTGAATGGCACGATTAGCATCTGTGCGCAATCTGGACAGTTCCTCCCGTATCGTTGCCAGTTCTCGACTCGTCGCCTCAGACTGCTGCTCAACTGATTGTGCCAATGACTGCTCTTCGTGCCGGGAAATGAAACTCGCAGCTCCATGTTCTGCAGATGTCCCAGTGAGTAGCGCCGATGGTGCAGTCCACCCTTGTCCAGCAACAGACATCAAGGGCAACCACGTCACATCACTGGCACGTGCAGAGGCTGCAGTGTCCTACAGTATACTCGAATCCAAAACAATGGTAGACGGGACGGATCCTGCCTGCTCCACTGGCACGGTAGGTGCAATTGTAAATAGCGCCCTTGTATTCAAAGTCTTGGATCTGTGCTACTATAATGCAGGTGGAATGGAGCGTATGAACATAAGTGCATCGCCAGGACTGAAATTGGGGGCAGCGCTGTTGACATATGGTGACCACTGTTCTGGCTTGCAGGCCATCCACACCTCTTGTATTTGTGTGGGCTTCTGGTTGATGCTAAAAGGCCAGGAAAAAGCAGATTGTGACCCCATGAGCGAGCCGGTGGTTGGATGTGAGCATCATTTGTTTGCATGCATGGATGAGACATGGCAACTCAGACAAAAAAGGTGTCACTCTGTACTCTGTTGTTGGCATCACATCCCAGACAATGAGCTTGACACTGAAGTCTTGGCCACACTGGGAAGGCCACCCAGGACAGTTTTGTGTACCTGGAGTTGTTGAACATTTCTCCTCTTGTTGAGCGAAACCCTGTCTTCTGTTATTAGAACTACTACAACAACACACTACAGTACACTACGGCACACTACAATACAACAGCTGCGGCTGAAACTGAGCATGCTATTTGTGAGTGCCAGGTACAGAATCTATGCATACTAACGGCACACCTCTGAAGCCAACATTGGTAGCTACTACTTGTATAGTGGTACCACTATCTAAACCAGTGTAGATGCTACTGTTGGTGTTTGTGCAGGCCCTCCAGGTAATCCATGGTGTGGAAAGGCTAAACGTTAAGATAACATAGTCATAGAGGCATAGTAGCTTGATTGCCAATTTTATGCCCCCCAAATGCGGTGGACTGTGTCTTGGCAGGACACAATATGCAGTAGCCCATGTGCTTCCTGTAAATATAGCCTGTTCTGGGGGGCCTTTTGTGGGTGTTGAAATTCCAGAGAGCATGGTGCCAGACGTTGGTGCTGCTGCATGCTGTTGACCGTTGCAGCAAAAGACACTGGACGGTCTTGTCCCTGAACTTTGGTTGCTTGTGTTGCTGTGCGAAAATTGTGCTTGATGACAAAAAGCAGACCCCACACTATGGGCAGCCCCCTTCTTGAGACAGATTTCTGTGAGACTCCTATCCATACTAGACTCCTATTCATATATACAAGACAATGCAGTAGTCTCAAAGCAAATAAGAAAGCACACAACACATAGTAACATGTGTAGCATTTCTGTTCGCACCAAGGAGTTACCCGCGTGCGGTTCTGGTTGGTGTCTTTGTGCAGTGCACCAGGTCACCCAGTGGAATAGCACATCACCACCTGCTAACAATAGTCGATTGTTACAAATTCAGTCAAAACAGAGTCAACTCTTGCTACTGGCATGTGCCCTCGGCACTAATTTCATTGGAATCTCCTCTGCCGAGGCAGAAGCACTTGGCTTGGTGGGTTGGTCTTCTTGACACATGATTCCAATACCCATAAGCACCATAACTATTCCGCCCATCTCATAGGTGGACAGATTTTCTCCTAACAGAAGGTAATCCCCTGCTGTGATAAGTATCAGGGAGAGGTTCAACAGTGCCAGTGCCAATCCTGTGCTGAGCTGCTGGTATGTGCGAATCGCATAAAGCTCCCCCAAAAGTACGCAGCAGACCACTCCCAAGAAGGATCCCCATTCTGATGGTGTGAAGTCAAGAACAAGGGGCCCTGGCCAATCTGTAAACGAACTTGCTCCCACATCAATGGTCACTGTCGACACCAAAATCCCAACATTGATCCAGCACACGCAAGCCAGCGAGCCTTCTGACTTGTCAATCAATCCAACGACTGCTGCTTGAACAGCCCAGAAGACCGCAGCAGCAAAAGCTAACAGAAGCCCTGCAACTTGAGCATGGTTGAGGGGTGCGGCGTCAGGCGAACCAAAAACCATTGGCGGCTGGCTGATGAACAGCGTGCCCATGATACAGACTCCCATCCCAGAAATCATGGCAAAACCAAGAGGGTCGCCCTTCAGTGTCCATCCCAGGATGCCACCCAAGACTGCTGAAAGCCGAAGAATTGCCTCAGTGTCTGCCAAGTGGATCATGGCAAAGGACGACCACTCAGCAATCACTGTGAAGCCGTACAGAAAACCCTGTAATGCCAGCAAGCGCCACATTTCGCGACGCCCAAGAATAGAACCAACAGGGCAGAATCGTGGCAAGATGGCAAGCACTGGGATGGTGACCACAGCTCGCATGCCCAAAATTTGAAGGGAAGGGACCTTCTTTTCCTCAAGCTCCTTGCCAAATATCACAGTCAGGGCAAAAAAGAAAGCCATAGCAATTCCCGATAGGTAGCCATTATTCCATATCTTCTCCACGGGCCATCTGGAACACAACAAACAGCATCTTTAGACTCTAGCTCACCAACATACTGGGATTGTAGGCATGACTCACAAGTGCACAGCCCTTCACAAACAGTGCTCACGATGGATTTACTCAATTCTTTCTGCCCAATTGCACTTGCTGCAACAATCTTTACAGCTCCGATTTCGTTTCCTACAGGGGTCCGGGTTTTTTGGAGTGCTCAGATGTTCCAGTTCTTTGCCAAAAAGGGCTGCATGAAAACTGAGACGGGCAGCCTCAGAGGCAGTTTTCCTGTGCTCTTCAAACTCAAGAACATTGGCAGAATCACACAACACATCATATATGACTATGCTACTGTGTGGGATATATGGATGTGAATGGCGCCATAGCTAACTCTCCCAGCTAAGCTGATTGTCAGATTTCCTGTTCGGCGAAGCGACTGAAGCAGCATTCTGCACGTATTGTCACCATTTGTTCTGTTCAGTGGAAACATAAACTGCAATGTCGGGGCCCTTGTCACCAAAACCAAGGCCCTCGTCCCCAATGCCAGAACAGAGATATGCGGTGCTTCCACAGATGGCAGCATGTGGAAGCCACGAAGTTTTCATTGGCTGGAGGTGCAGGGTCACACATATGGCCAGAAAACAGGGGGGGTGGTAGCGCCGTCAGCGCGGAATCCCCTATTGTTCCCAAAGAGCTGTGCTCAAGCACAGCTCGCTCGCAGTAATTCCCGGAAGCGGTCGACAGAAGTGCCAGGCACCTGGAACAGAACGGTGCACAGCGACAGGAGCCCCGGGTCTCCACAAGAACGCGCACAACGACGCGGCTCATGCACCCATCGTCCCCACTTTCTGCACACAGGCATGTGCACGCATTGGCTGCTTCACGACCCATCCACACGGGCAAGGAAGCACGGCCGAAACGCTCCTCCTCGCTACCACCGCCCCACCTCAGTCTCTGCAGCAGTTTCTGCCACGCGGTGTGGTGGGTGTTCTCCTTGACGGCCCCCGCGCACTTGCCCACCAGCACTGCCGTCTCCCCATGCTCGTGCTCCACCATAGGCGGCGCGCAACTGGGGCCCCTTTCTGTGCCTCCAGCCCCGCATCAACCAGGCGGGCACCACTCGCGCACTCCCACCAGTGCAACTGCGCTTTGGATCGGCGACCAAAGTCCCGTGCCGTGGGCCTCCCCGGGGGCGCCACACAGCTTTCCGACTCGTGAGACCGTTACCGCTGCCGCCGGCGTGCCAAGGTTTCCGGGTACCGGGGGGTGGCTTGCCTGAGAGTCGCACAGGGTTCATTCAACCGCTGGGCAGTGTTTAGGCACCCCACGGCAGTGACTCGTTGGGAATGGCTGACATCCAGTCACTGGATTCCAGTGTGATGTACCGCACCACGGCATAGAGGACTCCGCGCTAAAGAGTTGGGTCACCGCTGCAGCAAGGCCACTGCGTTCCCCCTGGGTCTCGAACTATATATGAGCGGAGTGTGGGAGCCCCAGAGGGCGCGTGGTGTTTGGCCTTGGGGGCTTGTCCTTTAGTTCGTCATGGTGGAGTCGGTGCTGCCGCAGAGGGCGCCCCTGGTGGGGAAGGTCGCAGAGACCGTCAAGGGGAACACGCACGTGTCCTGGTGGGCGAAGCCCGTTGTTCAGCTCAGGTGGGTGGAGTGCATGGGGTGGATGGTGCGGCATGCGGCGTGCGATGGTCGCGGGCCCGCGTTGTTTCCCTTGGAGGAGTTCCCTTGGAGTTCCCCTCGTTAGCCAAGAGGCGACAGCAGCTTCTGAGCAGTGTATTGTAAGATGATGTCGAGCGGTGACGGATTTGGCCCCTCACACGGATGATTATGCACTGTCGTCACTTTTGGCACACCTTCTCCGCGTGGCTT